TGTTTAAACAATTCATTTAAACCGACACTAACACTTAATATAGTTAAATATTTCACATCGTAACTCTTGTTAACTCCGGCTATAAGTTTTCTATAATAAATTGTGGCCATTAATTTAATGTATGTATCTTTCTGTTTTCTGATAATCACAATAATTTTACTCCATAATACATTTTAAATCTTACTTAAAATGTTTCTATTTTTTTATGTATAAAAGAGTTAAATTTGTAAAAAGTACTATGTATTTATAATTTCATGTTATATAATATGTTCGTGTATTTATTAAAACGACTTTTAAAAAGGAGTTATCAACATAGTTTTGTGGTGTTAATTGAGCGCAATGTTAGCAAATCACTGCAAGTTTACAGTGGCCTTACTTACTATTGATATAGTTATCTCAATAATGAATAAGGAATTAGTCACAAAAATATATATTATGAAGTAAATAAGTCTAGGTAAACTAATCAGGATATATAGCACAGAGACCCAAAATCTAAATGAAAAAAGTTACTCAAAGTGTTAGCAAGCTCCGAGTACTTTGAAAATGGCAGCAAGCCTATTCCTTTTTGTTTCACATTTTTTATTACCTACCATTAGTAGCAGCTGGAAGAACCATTTAAAAGATCTAGAAAAAGCTGTCAAATAAATATTTGACACGTAAACTGGGTCACACTTGGCTAGTATAAGCTATGCTATACGATTTTTATAAAAGAATATAGATATTATTGTACTAAATTAAGAAAACATGTCAATAGTACTCTATAAATTAAAAACATTGCATATGTTTAATAAACATAAAACTTATATTAAGCTATTGACTTTATTCGTATTGCAAAATATCGATAAAATTATTAACTTCTTAATGAAACTAAAATGTCTAAATATTATAATAATCCAGACGTTTCGGTATCTTTGCAGCAACAATGATCACGGACAGACGAAATGAAAAACCTTTTCATTAATTCTTAGTAATATGCTAAAATCTTAATTTAATTTAAGGAAATACGCACGAAAATCTTTAAAAATATTTATTCTTTTCTTGGTATTCAAACTTTTTTAAATAAGACAAAATTAAAAAGGAAATTATAAAAATTATAAATTATTATAATACGATTTTCCTTTAAGCATTCCTTGAAGTAATAATAGGTTGGCAACTAAGTCATTGCCGTTTTTGTTGATAGATTCACTCTACACTTTTTTTTGTTTTGTTAACGTGGCCAGAGCATCTAACCTATATTTTTTTCTGACTGTATGGGTTTCTACGTTTAATTAGTAAAAACATTTTTTGATTAGTTCTTTAGTTTTGTTTTTATCCCAATTTAAAAATGAAAGAACAGGACGTGCACTTTCGACATATTTTATTGTATTACTTCCGAAAAGGCAAGAACGCATCGCAAGAACAAAAGAATTAATGTGCCGTATATGGATATGAAGCCTTAAAAGAAAGGCAGTGTCGAAATTGGTTTGAAAGATTTCGTTCCGGTGATTTTTCACTGAAAAATTCACAACGATCTGGTCGCCCAGTCGAAGTGGATGAAACCCATATCAAGGCCATTATCGATTCAAATCGTCACAGCACAACACGGGATATTGCAGAGAAGCTCAATGTATCGCATACATGCATTGAAAAAAAATTAAAACCCTTAGTTATGTCAAGAAACTTGATTTATGTATCCCTCACCCGTTAAAGGAAATTCATTTGACGCAACGGATTAGCATCTGTGATTCGCTACTGAAACGCAATGAGAATGATCCATTTCTGAAGAACCTAGTTACTGGCGACGAAAAGTGGATAATTTATAACAATTTTACTCGCAAGAGATCATGGGTGAAGCAAGATCAACCAGCCCAAACAGTATCAAAAGCAGAGATTCACCAAAAAAAGATTATGCTGTCAGTCTGGTAGGATCACAAAGGAATTTTGTATTTTGAACTCATGCCGCAGAACCAAACGATAAATTCAAATGTGTATGTTGAACAACTCGAAAAACTAAACGATGCAATTGAAGAAAAGCGGCCGGCATTATCAAATTGGAAGGGTTTTGTTTTCCATCATGATAACGCAAGGCACCACACATTTTTGGTTACTCGGCAAAAATTATTGGAACTGGATTGAGATGTTTTGTCACACCCACCATATAGCCCTGACCTTGCGCCTTCGGATTACCATTTGTTTCGTTCCATGCAAAACTCTTTAAATGGTAAAATTTATAACAACGCGGATGATGTCGGATCACACCTAATTCAGTTTTTTAATAGCAAAGACCAGACATTTTACGAACGGGGAATTTTTACTCTGCCAGAACGATGGAAAAAGGTCATCGACAAGAATGGCCAATATCTAATTGAATAAAGTTATATTTTTAAACAAAAATTCCGAATTTGCCTTCTTATTTGAAATCGGCAATGACTTAGTTGCCAACCCAATACTTTGATATACAAAATATTTTAGTATTTAATTGTTCTAGACTAAAGAAGAGAGGTATATGCTTTAAATCTGAAAAAACCTTCATAAAACAAGTCACCAATCCCGTTACACGTGTAGCTAATGTGCAAATGTTCAATTTAATTTTAATGTCATCAATAGTTCGCGAACGGTCCGAACCTATTTATTTTATACTTGTTCTTGTTTGTTATAGTACAGTAAGAAGAGATTAATCTTTTATTGGACATGTTGGCCTTCCCGCTCTAAGATGCTTTTAAAATGTTTGAGACCTTATGATGTCTAAGAGTAACAAGAATACAATCAATAAAACACAATTTTCAGTAATTATTTTGAATAATGTATCGACAATAAAATTGATATTTGCTAAGAATTACGTAGTCATTGTAATAATAGGTAAATGTAACTCACATTAAGCAGTTACTCTTCTCTGAATTTAAGATATGTTGTGATCCACTGGTAGGTTTATAATTGAATGAATATATGTGGGTAATAGCACCTTACGAGAAACTCTTAGTATTTAAAGAACCCTTACGTCATACATTCTTAGTCTTTTTGTAAAAGAACAATTAAGAACTACAATATAATACATTTACTAAAAAATATATTAAAGGAACTCAAAACTTTGGTGTATATCCTTGGTCAGTACATACACCAAAGTTTTGAGTTCCTTTTAGCTTGAAAGCTTAAAAATTGAATGATCAAACTATAGTCTATCTATTCATATATACATATCTTAGTATACATTTAGGTAAAGGTTTTCTATAGGTTCTTTCACTGATGAAACTAAAAGCTAATATAGTCGTTATTTTCATTGATCACGAATTCTATTATCTCGCGAATATCATTATTATTATTATTATAATATGTCATATGACATCAAAATTATAATAATATATCATTATTAAAATTATATACTATATCAACTAAATCTCAATCGCTAGGTAAGAATTAAACAATATAATTTACTCGTATTGAGTTCAGAATAACTACCTGTGAATCAAATCGTATCCCGAGAAACTGAAATTATAAGTCAAAAAAAACCTTTCACGTACTAACAATGGCCAGACGAACAACACAATTCCCTCTCCTTTATACATTCTCTGTTTCAACAGTTAGAACAGCATTCTGTTTCACAATCAAATTAAATCCATTGTGTATCAAAGTAGAATAAAATTAATAATCTAAAAACGAGCACGTTAAAAATAATGATAATATTTAAATTACGTATACGAGTATAACAAATGTACATCATTAGAGGCCAGGTCCGCATCCCCCGGGTACAATATAGTTTCAAATGTGGTGCGACTGTTGAGTGATTTATTGTATTAATAATATAAATTTACAGACGTACATACGGACACCTGAGCCAGCTAATGTTTGTTAAAACTTTTATATGTTATTCAAATACTGTTAATAATAAATTTAGTTCACATCAATTGTCACGTACATGTTTTCACGTTCAATTGCATAAAATAATAACGTATTGTTCAATTTTTTGGAAAATTTCTGTATTGTAGTTTCTTATGGATATATTATATTTTTTCTAATAATTTCTTTTATATTTAGCCATTCATTAAGTCGTTACTATATAAAACCGTGTTTTATGCTAGATAAAGGTTTGAAATCATCTAATATTCTCTACTATATCACGCACGTGTTATCCATATAAACCGCTAAAATCACTCTTGTCATTGACCAATACTTAAAAATCAGTAGCGCTTACCACTCTGTCAGCCGGAAGCAACCTAATTCCAAACTTCATAGAAATCAAACAATAGGGAGGAACATAGAACTACGTAACTAATTGTATATTTGAATTATTTTCAACGAAGTTGTCGAGTAAATTCCATTAAGTTTTTTTAAATATATTTTTAAGTACAATATAAGAAGGGCGATATTAAAGAATTATTGTCTGAATTGTTATTATTATGAAACTCTAGGGCCTTATCATTCCTTACAATTTGGCGTCAAAGGAATAATTGAGGGACTAAAAGTAATTTTAATCAAATTGTGAAGCTGTTACTGTTCTAATCTCACAAAGTCCTCTAAACAAGTTTTACCCTAAGCCTTAAAATATTAAGGCATATGTATATGAAAACTATAATTATTACTATAATTATTAATTATTACTTTCTCATATTACATACATAATTTGCAATTACACAGTTACAAATATCATTAAAAATATTAGTAGTTCACAACTAGCATAAATTTTTCACAGAGTATATGGTGATAATGGCAAAAAGGAATTTTGTTGTTGTTTCACTACTGCTTTTAAACTGTTAAAATATTTATGTATCAAAAACGTTTTGATCCGATGAAATAAACTAAAGCTTTCCCAATGTTATAAAGCTACTCTATTGAACGTCACAATCATACCAACATTGAATAAATGGCTTTTGTACATTTCATTTCATTAAAATAAACCGAATACTGGCCTTTTCAAAAACTGTTCGTTATTATTACAATAAATGTTAACATTCACTGATCATTATATAAATATGTGGAATGGAGATATTTCTGAAATAACTCAATATTATTGTTAATTATCCAGATTGTTTGAAGAGAATGAAGAGCTTCTACATCTGTTTGAAAAGTTTCGAGAGCTGCGAACCAAAGCAGCTATAGTCAGTTCTGCTGAATTGGCTGAGCATGCTACACAGGTGATGCATACAATAGACGAGGGCATCAAAGGGCTGGCTGATATGGACTCATTCTTCACTTACGTTAGACACGTGGGTGGCACACATCGACAGGTGCCCGGGTTTAAATCAGAAAACTTTATGGTCAGTTTAACATTTTTACATTCTCACTAACAATGACACCTTTGAATATACTGAAACATTAGAAAGTTTAGAAAACATTTACATATTGATATCCTATTCATAGTCTTTTATAAGCGTAAGAGATGAGTTCAAAAATATTCATTATATTTGCAGAAAATCGAGCAACCTTTCCTTGAAGCAGCCAAGAAAAATCTGGGAGAGAGATACACACCGAATATTGAAAATATATACAAGTTGACAATACGCTTCATTTTAGAGAATCTCGTCAAAGGTTACGAGGAGGCTGGGGAGGAAAATGGAACAACTCAAACCTGAATTGGGTTTTTGAAAAAAAAAAGTATTGATTTTTTTTATATATTTTAAAATTTTATTATTAATTATATTGATTTTTAATGCAAAAAACTTGAATTTTTTTTTTTATTAATTATAAACAATTAAAAATTGATAAAATTCAAAAAAAAATCACGTGACTGTAAACGCGCCATGTTTGGTCACCATACTTGTGACGTCATAATGTTAAAGCAATTTCATAATAGTACAGTGTTTATGGCTATTATCTTTGACTTGATAAAAATATCTCAAATGTATTAGTGAAAAACGATTTGAAAAGTTTATTTCCACTAACTATGTGTGATAAAGGATTTATAAAAGCAAAATCGGATAATATTCCTGATGTTGATATATTTATGATAACTAATTTTTTTTAAAATGACGTTCGGTTTAATTCTGCTGAAGTTCGAGGTGCTAAGGCATCAAGGTAAGTCTGTTAAAAATACTATTCTAAATGAAAATAAGTATTTATTCTCCATTAAATATAATTAATAATTATTTCATTAAATCATTATTAATAAAATGTTATTATAACATTATAAAAAACCAAAATAACATATAATTTAAAAATTTAAATGTAGTCTGATACAGAACCTAGAATGTTATAAAATTATGAAAATATCTATTAATTGAATTCCAATTATTAGACAAACATACATATAGATTTACTATTTAATCGCTTTGAATTATCAATTAAAAAATTTTTAATGCTACGATTCTAAAGGTTATGATTTCGAGCCCAGGTAAAAAAATTAATTACTGAACTATACTTATTCGATTTATACACTTAGATAAACAATAATTAATAACAATATTATTATGAATACTTACAACGAAATGATCTTCACAACAAAAAAAAATTGATTTTGTTTTTGAATAATCTCGGTGCACTGCTTGAAACCATTTCTTTCGACGTTTTTCGTCTTGTGGAACATTTAAAAACATTTTTTCAGGAGTTATTTTTGTAGTATTTGTACATAATGGTACAAAACAAGAGCGATAACTTTTGAGTTTTGACATATTTGATTATTTAACAATGCCAACAGAATTTACTAGATAAAAACTCAAAACACTGTACTAATTATTATATCTCTGTATGCTACAATGAGCAAAAACTAACATTGTGACGTCACACGCGCTCGGGTTTATTCGCGAGCTGTCGGCGGATCTTCGGTACTGAATTTAAAATTTAATTTTAATTTTGAAATAACTTTTTAATTATTGCAAAAAAAAAAAATAGTTTTGTTATAAAACTTATATATGATCTTTCCATTTATCACAAAAAAAAAATAATCAAAAACCCAATTACATTAGCCACTATTATTATTTACTTCTCCATTTAATTTACAATTTAGAATTAAAATTTCACCGAAGTAGATTACGCTTGCTATGAAAACTATATTGTAATATAAAATAAGAAATATTAGAACACAAACTAATTTTGATAATAATATTTCGCTCAAACGAAGTGCCGATAATTTTATTTCAGTTTAAATTTAACTACGAAGTTAACAGAAATTAATTTTGACGTAAGCCAACATGTTTTCTCCGAAAGCCAAGTGTAGATAAAATAAATATGATTAAATTTGATTTTTTAATAGCATGCTTACTATGTATGAAATAAAGAGAAATATTTACAAATTTTCATTTCCGTTTTATAACATATGCAAAGTTTATTATAAATATACTAGAAGACATGGCGAACTTCGTATCGCCCTTTAATCAAGAAATATCTATTACGTTTTTTTATTTATATTTTTGAAGTTTACCTGTAAGCCATAAAACTCCGTGTTTTGAAGTACGACAGAATGACTGACATATTAGTTAGTTGTCAAATCTAATATAAAAAAAAACGTTTGTATGGGAAATAGAAAAGGGCTGTTTTTATGGTTTTCCCAGTAATGAATCAATTTTTTCAGCTTTTATATCTTCCCTGAACCTCCACGAACATTTCAAGACTAATATAAGATAAATCCGTTTAGCCGTTCTCGAGTTTTAGCGAGACTAAGGAACAGCAATCCATTTTTATATATATAGAAGATAAGGGCATAATATTTTATTACCCATGATAAATAAAACAAATCTACATTTTAATGATTAATTTATGAACAATTTGTGAGAAGCTAGTTTTTATTCTATATTTTGTTTACCTTTTCTAGAGAAATATAAAAAACCAAACATGTTATTTCTAATAATATGGAGATATATATTTCGATGATTTATCATGTATTTTTATTTTTAACTTAAAGTTATCAAGAAGGAAAATAAATATAATAAATAATAATAATAAGACATAATAACAAGCGCTTACACTACTCGAAGGAATATGAAGGAATATGAAAATATACATTTTTATACACAACATTAATCTGCTTTCTATGAACAAATTTATTTGCAGTATATCTGTGCTTGTTACGTGTTCAAGACTTGACTATCTCAATCGATCGAACCAAAATGATTTAATATTAGTAACATATATATATATATATATATATATATATATATATATATTTAAAGAAACGTATGAAGTCCTCAGCAACAGAATTAATATTGCTCCTTAACGTGTTACGGCATTTTGTACCCTTGTGTCATTACTGTACAGTAATACCCCGCTTTACGCGAGGGATACGTTCCGAAGAAAATCGCGTTAACTGAAATTCGCGTATATCGAGGTTTATGATTAAACACAGTCAAAATTTAATACACAAATAAAAAAATCATTTTAATCAATCATTTTAATTCTAAGAACACTGTACAATACATAGGTACTCCTATTTTTTACGAAAAAATACATGTATTGTCTTTTGGGTAGCGTTTTGTTTACGTTCTTGTAAAATAAGTTCATAACACCCAACACTGTTTTTAATTGTTTAACACACGGTCAAGGCGCGGTTATCATTATTATCTATACTCTGCAATATGTCCAAATCTGAATAAATTTTTGAAATTCGCGTTATAGTGAAACCGCGTATAACGGGGTCGCGTTAAGCGGGGTATTACTGTATTTAAAAAAAACTCCTACAAATAACTTACATGTTGTTGAAATATTTTAATATTTTCTTTACAATATTTTTAGATATAAAACCTTTAGTTTGGTTCTCGTAAGTAATTATAAACATAAAAATACAAAAAGTCAATACTTTCAAACTCTCTAACAGACTTTTGTGTACTTTATTCTATACATAATTAAGTTTCTTATTATTTAAAAATATTTAGGTCTTATTAACTTTGTAAAGTTTCTGTTTTCAGGGTGGAGGGATCCTTTTCATTTCCCAAAAAATAATACTGTGTTGGCAGCTCTAGATTTTAGACTACTTTCCGTGATGAAGCAAAAGTTAAAGATTATAATAAATTAGGCTATTTAAAGTGACTTTGTCTATATTTTATAATCTTAATAAAATCATAAGCCTTGAGTAATCAAACATCTCATATTAATAACACCATAATATAAGGGGCGCTTGCAAAACTGAAGACAATAACATTCACGTAGCAAGGTTTTCTATGTAAGACAAACATTCATACATACATATGTACATGTATCGTTGCATACTTTCACATTGTTTCTGATTACAACAACCAGAAATGGTCGTATAAGGAATGAGATCTACTTTTTAAATGTTTGAACACAATGTCCTATTTGTTATGTATATAATTATTCATTATAAATGTCGCGTTAATTTATTACAAATGCATTCACATTAAATTTGGTTATAAAAAATAGGTCGTAAGTTAGTCTTTATTTAATTTGAACAAGATGTTGCTTTGTGTCAATATTGTTGAATTAGCTTTTGTTGATCGAGCACCAAATTTTCATTCTGAAATAGCAATTTTTTTTGATGACGCAGGGAAACTCTTTTTACGAGCCGACCAACCGGCCTTGGTGGGGCCGGAAGGGATGTGTGAGACTCGACCTGGGCAGGCATCTACTCACTAAAATATCCCTAGGATAGTTCAAACATTGCAACAAACACAACACTTTGATATTTTCAAATATTTTCAAATAAAAAATTTGTAATGAGTTATATAGTTGTTACTTTATTTAAGACAGTTATAAAGTATAAGAGATCGTTTTAAATGTTTTGACAGAAAGATCCTGAAGAGTTCATTTATATTTTACGTTGTCATAAAACATTCGTCTCTTTTCCTTAACTTTTAATAGGATTTTAGAAACTACGGTTTCTTCTTCATGCTCATTAAATCGTAGTGCCAGCTGTTGCAGGTGTTATATGAGAAGGTTTGAGATACAAAAGACAATTCGCTCAATTAACTATAAATCAATTCCCTGGCTAAGTTACTTGTGTTTTGAAATGTGTTTAACTTTAATTTAATTCATTTGAAAATATTTTAAATAAATACATTCTATTCAACTATGAAATTATTAAAGTTTATATGAAGACTTTAAATTTAATTACCGAAGGAAACAAATGTAGCTCAATGTTAGAATTTCCTCCAAAGCGAAGAGATACTATATCATCATTATATGTATTATTCTATTTTTAAATTATACCCATAAATATAATAACATTTTAATAACACCTTCTATGTTTGTTATAAAAGGAAAGTCATACAATTGGAAAGATAATATTGCTAAACTTAGATAGTCTAACTTATATATATATACATATATAGCTCAAAGTTATGTTGCTTGGTAATGATCAAAAACCTCAACACACAGATGAATACATATTATAAGTGATATTAAAAAGGATCAAATTATTTATAAACTTTACACATTACTTCTTATAAGACGATTTTATTTTATTTCTATGTAGTATCACTCTAATGCTCAGTTACTGTGAAAAGTTTTCTTCATACCTTAGTATAATAATAAGATTTGACCCGTATTACTATTTGAAATATAAACAAGATTTTCCATGATACCTGAAAGAAAGTAGATGGTTGTCTGAGCAAGTCACATGTAATGTTTTTTTTTGTAATCCTAATATAAAAATTTAAAGAAATGATAACTCCTTGGGATAATCATA